TTAAAGATCCGAAATGTCCCAGGTGAGTCATGTTTGTGGTGTTGTCACATGCTCGTCAGTATATATCACTAATAGGTAAATACGATACAGAAACATTTATGACTTGTTTTGGTGAAAGCCACACAAAGTATCTCAAGAACTTTACCATAGATTATTAGTTTAATCCATGGTCAATGGGAATATAGTTTGTTTTTATGCTGTTTCAAAGTATTTACCGTAACCTCTCCCACCTTTCAGATATTTATTTTACCCTTTTACAAATGTGAAATATAATGGGTATTTCTGCTAGTTTGGGCATATAATTTTTCTTTTTAAACACATTTTTAGTGCTGCGTTTTCGGAGAGCTTTGCATATATTTGCATTTATTTATTTTAAGTCATGGTAAAAAAAAAAAAAAAAAAAAAAAAATGAGGTATGCCTTAATTCCAAGGTTTACGTGTCAGGACATGAAGAAAAAAATCCTCTGGTCTTAGTGGGCCTTAAACTTAGTTTGATACAGCCTGAGATGAACAACAGCACAACATATTACACTTTGTCATCATCTGTGTGACACAAACTAAGCCAAAAAGCAGAAGCAGTGAGTGGAAAACTAAGAATACCCCTAATTCAATAGCTTGCAGAGCAACATTCAGCAGCAATAACTTGAAGTTATCTTTTTTTGGATGACTTTATCAGTCTGTCAGATCATTGGAGGAATTATGGCCCACAATTGTTTACAGCCATCACAGTTTATTTGAGGTTTGCAGGCCGTTGGGGATACACATCTTAACTTTTATCTCATCTGTATAAAAGACATTGTTCCAGAGGTCTTGTGTTTTGTTCAGATGCAACTCTGCAAACCTAAGCTGTGGTCTTTTTATAGAGAGGAGACTTTCTGCTGACAACCCTTTCTAACAAACCATATATTTTGATTTACTTTTGGTTAAAAAAAACTGATTATGAAACTGCATAATCTGTCATGAATTGTTGTTAATCTGAGGCTGTATTTAGATCATTTTAGAACCTGGTACCAGATAATTTTTTACTATTATTTTTAATAGTTTATTTTTTTAAATTATTTTTATTATGTTCTAATTTGTATAAACCATAGACTTAACAGCAGGCAACTTCTTTTTTACCATTACTGCAGGTATAGTCTTTATAATTTAGCCATCAATGCTTGTTTTTGTTGTTGTTCATGGTAGTTATGAAGACTAGCTGCTGTAATGCTGCATTTTTCTTTCTCTGCAAAAATTTGTCCCAACTCATTATAAAAATTACAAAAGTTGTTTGCAGTAAAAACTTTACAGAGTTAAAGTCAAATTTGTTTCTATAGCACAATTAAAAACAGCTGTTGACCAAAGTGCTGTACATTAAAAAAAAATCGGAGTCACATAATCATGTCATGTTAAACAATTTTTAAGGTAGTACTCTGTACTCTGCTTTTCCGTGCTGTTAGCTGTGTTGTCACCACCTATGCACTTAGAACCATTTAAACATTAGATGCCGCATTGTTACACTGTTGACATTATATTGTGTTTGTTGTCTGTGGTGTGTTCACAGGTGCAGCTCCAAAGCCATATGTCAAAATGCTTAAAACAAAGGGCTTACTGGAGTGTGAAGTTCCAGGTGCTTATCCTAAACCTACAGTAGAGTGGTGGGACAGTGATAACAAAACACTTCATTCTAAGACGCTAGAGGACAGAGAAGATCAAGATCGCTTCTACATCATCATCCAAACTAGTGTGACGAAGCCTGACTGCTATCGTTGTGTAGCCACGCAGATGGAAATCCGGCATCGGATTTCTTCAGAAACCTGTGTGTCCGAAGGTGAGTGGTATGGTTTTGTTTTTTGTTTTGTTTTTTCAAATAAATTTGAAGTGTAAAATGTGAGTGCTTGATTAGAATGGGGGGAAAAATCAACACACACTCACCACATGTAGGGCAGGAGCAAGCCTAAAACAAATTCAACACAGACATTCAACATGTTGATCAAACTTGTATTTTGATTACAGTGGTCCCTCGTTTATTGTGGGAGTTACATTCTAAATATAACCCGCAATAGGTGAAATCTGCAAAGTAGCCAGCTTTATTTTTTACTATTATGGGTGTTTTAAGGCTGTAAAACCCCTCACTACACACTTTATACACTTTTCTCAGACGGGCATGAACATTTTCACACTTTTCTCTCTTGTTTAAACTCTCAAAGTTCAAACCTTCGTAGAGAAATAAGTCCAGTATCATAGAATGAAACCAAAGATCAAACCCTGTTTTCAGGTCCAGAACATGAGAATAGAGCAGCTATGAGAGAATTCAACATTAATGAATCAATGGTACGGAAGTAGAGGAAGCAAGAAGAATGAGTTGAGTGAAGTTTGACTTATCTGACTGCTTTGTTTTGCTTAATGCACCTTATAATAAAAGAAATACGGTAACTTCTACCTTCCTTTAGCATGTCCAGAAGTCCAACTTTTTGTGCGATGGTTAGCATCTTTCTCTGCCTTTTGGGTGCTACTGCAGGTGCCTCTGATGGTGCAAAACATTGTTGTGTTTGTTGGGGAGAAACTTACAAACATACAGTACAGCACTTCAGAATCACACTGCTAGCGATGGAAGATTTATGTAAATTTGACAAGCTGAACGCATTCTGTACTGTACAGGAGACACAACACCTATTATTAATAATATTATGCACCTTGTCACCTCAAGGTGCATAATATTACATAGAGAGAGAAACCCAACCATCATATGACCCCCTATGAGCAAGCACTTTGGCAACAGTGGGAAGGAAAAACTCCCTTTTAACAGGAAGAAAATTCCAGCAGAACCAGGCTCAGGGAGAGGCGGGGCCATCTGCTGTGATTGGTTGGGGTGAGAGAAGGAAGACAGGATAAAGACATGATGTAGAAGAGAGACAGAGGTTATTAACAGATATGATTCAATACAGAGAGGTCTGTTAACACATAGTGAGTGAGAAAGGTGACTGAAGAAGAAAAACTCAATGCATCATGGGAATCCCCCGGCAGCCTACGTCTATTGCAGTATAACTAAGGGAGGATATGGTACTACAAGGTCATTAAGATAAGATGGGGCCTGATTATTTAAGACCTTGTATGTGAGGAGCAGGATTTTGAATTCTGGATTTAACAGG